AGGAGGGGGGGGGGAGGAGGAGGAGAAGATGATGATGAAGAAGGCATCTCCGGATGTTTTGGTGTCAAGTTTAGTGGCGCGAGGATGGCAACTTTCGTTCTTCTTCTCATCCTTATAAAAAGTGTTTAATAGCACAGGAAAAACAAAGGAATTCTACAAAGAAGTTTGAGTGGATAGAAAGTTTTCTTCAAAATCTCTATTCTTATAAAAAAAAACAGAGTTGGTGATGATGGTGTGCCTGCCATCCTGCAATATAGGCCGCCTGATTTATATCTTACGGATAGGAAGGAAACTATGACAATTTTGCAAAAAGATACCCACACCCCTCTCCACATTTGCAAATAAAGCCTTCCCTCGTTCATTCTTTTCTCTCACAAAATAAACTACTCATACAAATACATCTTGATGTTCCGTGCAACGCACGGACATCTTGCTAGTGTAGTACAAATGAATCCAATGAAGAAAACCCTAAGGATTTCAATCCTACTACAAATCAAACGAGCAACACAGAAAAAAATCCTAAGGATCCAAATCCTGTAAAAATCCTATGAAATTTCTTTGTATCAAAGGAGCCATAAATAGGGTTTCTCCCACTATGAATGACATTGTAATCTCCGGATAGTACCTATCTCATCTTAGGCTGGACTTTTCTGTTTGATTGTGTTGGACATGTTGACCATGTGCATCATATCATGCAGAGGCCAGCCACTCACACACTGCAACTATATTGTCTTGATATATCGATTGAATGAAAACGCCTCACTGCTGCGATTCACTTCTGGCATCAGTATCACTATAACCCAATGTGAAAATATATACATATGGAATGCTAAAGTTACCAACAGGTTCAAGACTGTACAATCTGTTTCACAAGAGAAAATCCGACAAAGCGGAGCACGCTAGTGTTTCACTTACCTACCTACACCACCACAACAAACGAAAACTAAGGACGAGTGCACTACGAGAAAGCATTGTTGCAAGCATCATGCAGCAAGGCATGTAGGAAGGCGACGACCACCTAGCTAGCTAACTAGCACTACAAATTTAAACACACAGACTAACAGAAATGCATGCATCATGCAACCGGCCATGTGATGCCAACTTGCTTCCAAGCGCGGTGCTGGCCGGCCGGCGGCTTCATGCCGCCAGCTGCTGCTGGCTGCCGCAGCTGGCGGCATCGTCCTCGGATTCAGAGAGGCAGCAGTGCTGCAGCCTCGGCGGCGCAGAAGCAGCCTCCGCGCAGAGCATCTCGGACTGGAGCACGGCGCAGTAGTGGCCGAATGTCTCCGGCGTGACGTTGAGGTCGAACCCGACGCCGAACAGGAAGTCGACCTCCAGGTAGTTCATCTCGACCAGGCTGATGCCCCCGACCTTGGCAAAGTAGGCGTTGTTGTAGCATCTGCATACAGGGAAACACAGGCCTTTCAAGAGGGGAACACCGTGCCACTGTACTTCCATTATTTTTTCATACAATTTGTTCAACTCATTCAACTGTTTTTTTTACAGGGAGGATGGTGTTAGAGTTTTGCAGTCAAAAGGATCAATCAAGCAGCCCAACAAAGCACAACCAGAATTACCAACTAGGCACGAAAGTCCAAAACGTTTCTTTTAAGGATGCCAAGTTGGGCCAATTAAGTATATCAATCTCAGCGAAGACTCTGGGGGGAAATTGAGCAGCAAGCATCAGCAGAGATGGCAAGTTACCAGTCGCGATCCGCCACAACTGGCACTGGATTAAGTTCCTAACAAAAAGGCGAGTGGGCAGGGCCGGGTTCTAGTCCATGTCCTCGGGTCCACGCTTGATGCGTGTGGTTTGGTGGAAGGAGCAGCCACCACATACTACGTCTTTTCTGCTCCGCTCACTCCACAGGCATAACTTTGCCGTATACCGCCTGCTTTAATTCGCAAGGACAAATCACTCTGTGTACAGTGTACACAGTGCCTAGTGCAAATCCTAGCTTGACACCGTAGTTAAATGTAGGCACCTACCCACTGATTGCCCTCTCCGGTGCATTATTAGCACAGGACTGCACATGTGCCAATGATTACTACTACTGATATTTTGTGAATTGAGGTGTGGTTGTATACTGTCTGAACTGAACTGACCGGAAGAAAAACCTTAACTATCTATGCCTGCAGTCTGCACCGACAGTTACTAGCTAGGAGCTGATAATGCTATGTCCAAAGCAAATGGCAGCACAATTCTGGAAATGCAAGTGGAATGATGCTGGAGTTACTTCGAAGGCACTCCCAAGTCTCAACCTATTCCTAGTTGTCAGAGTAGAAGAAGAGCAAAGCACTTTGTCACAGCTCGCTACTCTTGGCACAAGAATCTCAGGTGTTCGAACCAGCAAGCTAAATCCAAAGAACAGAGAACCAAAATTCAGGTGGTCCAACTCCAAGTAATGCATCCCTCGGCAGTATTACCATCCAGAGGTCTGAATATTGGTGTTGTGAGATTGTTAACCAAGTAGAGCATGACGATTGCCAACAACACGGTGACTATTGAGTTAAGTGCAAAGCGAGCTAATTGGCATAATTCGAATCACGCCACCAAGACGAAGATGATCATGTACAGAGGTACAGTACAAATTAACTGGTTGAGCTGTTGGATTAATTTAGCATTAAGGGGAACTCACACGTCATCCATGAACTTGACGGCGGCGAGCACGGTCGTGATGAGGAGACGGTGCACGCTGTAGGAGTCCACGGCGAGGGCGAAGCCGCGGGCGCGCTGCAGCAGCCGGTCGAGGTAGATGTAGGCGACGACGTAGCACGCGGGGCTGCACCCGGCGAACCGCGCGATGCGCGCCACGTACGCGCGCACCGAGATGCCCGGCTTGGTCGTCGCCCGGAACGCCGACGCCGGCGCCGCCTCCCCGGGCGTGGCCACCGCGTCGTTGCGCTCCGCGACGCGCTCCAGGATGCCGGCCAGGGCGGCCACCACCCGCAGCATGTCGTCCTGCTGGGCGCTGCTCACCACCAGCTCCCCGGCCTCGGCCATGGCCTCTGGCATACGGAGGCGGTGCACGTGTCGAACTCCTTGGGGTCGATGGAGAACAGGTGGGGAGAAAATGCACGGGGTCCGTTATGTAGGACGGAGAGGGGATGGAGAAGGAAGGCGGTTAATTTATTTTTTCTGTTAGTTAATCTGGTACTCCAGTGTTGGGAGATGGGATATGCTCATGTAGATACAGAAAAGGAAGGGGAGAACTTTCATTGGAGATTTGCGCCATGGAAAACCGTTAGGGTTAAGCGTACTTTAGTTGATAGAAGTTAGGTAGTAGTACTCCGTCTGAATCAAAATATAAGACATTTTTTTTGACATATTGAATAGTATTAGAAAGCGTGAACCAACCTGTAATTGGATGGTTAGAGGAACTGTTTATCCTTAGCCCATCAAGGTTCAAGTCCTACTGCTCGCATTTATTTCTGGATTTATTTCAGGATGTCTACGATGACTTTATAAATTTCAAAATGATATGCCGGTTGCTTGCGTTTGTACTGTGTTAAAAAAATAGTATCAAAAAGCATCATTTTTTTTATACGGAGGGGATAGTATAGCAGTTGGTTAAAGTCAAACCGCTCAAATTTCTAAAAACGTGATCATGCTTAAGCATTTGTCGGGCAGGGCCAAAAAAAGCCCGGTGAAAACCTAGACCTGAGTCTGGCCCGACCCGACCGTCGGGCCTAACAAATAGGGCTCAAGCCCGAAAAGCACGACCCGGTCGGTCCGGCCCGGGATTTTCGGGACCGGCTGCACATGGCCAGGTATTCATCCTGTGTACTTTTGTAAAACTTACGTGTAAACCTCACATCTGAGCTTCATGGCGCAAAGGCTTGATTGCGTACTCCTCTCTCCGCTGCATGTAAGAAAAAGTTCGATGCATTACTCCTTTGAAGGATGACCATGGAGTATTCGTCTTTTCAAGACATCCATGCTCACGCTCGCGCGCATCTCGTGTCCTTACCTATGTTTCGTCTTCCCCACCACGCGATTGGTCCCAACCATTCCTCTCCGAGCCGGTCGTCTTGGTGTTCATGACGCGTGGCCTAGGGGCATGCTCGGGACCAACTCGTCTGGCGATCGTTTCCCTCGCACTGTGTGTGTCATTTCGTTCGCTTCTGTGGGGGGTGTCTGATGTTTGGGCTACCCGTTGGAGGAGATCATCATGCGCGGGCCCCACCCGGCTATCCCTGTGGGTGCCGCCTGATGAATGGCTGGGGGCCTCTAATGTTTGGGCCACCACGCAAAGGCGACCATCATGCTCGGACCCCGTCTTGCTATTGTGCCCAAACCCGACTGATTGTTCGTGGGGCGGGGACGTTGGAAGACGATGTGGAGTCGACATCTTGCCGGGCGGTTGGTGGCGGCATCTGGTGTTTGGAGGCGACCATCGTGCCCGGACCCCATATGGCTATCGCACCAAACACCCGGCTGGTTTTGAGGAGGGTTGGAAGACGGTGCGGAGTTGCCATTTTGCCGGGCGGATATGATTTATTCTCTCCTTTCATTTGTGCTCAGTTGTTTCCCTGAGGTGGGTTTGCTTCCCTCATGCCTATCCGGTTCGGCCTATCTGATAGGTGGCTATGCGGAGTTGTGTTCTTTCTGTCCGGCTGGTGGATGCATGGAGTTGTGTTCATTTTGTCCTTGTCTGGTCGGACGATGTAAGGTGGTTGAACTTGAGAGGCAGGTACTTAATGGCGTAGAGGTCATATCGACTTGCCATATGTATTGCCATGAGGAAGTCCACAATCCATACGGTGGGGTCTGTTCTTCCGTCGTATTGCTCCATGTTCATGGGTTTAAACCCCTCAGGAAACTGGTGTTGCATAAACTTGTCTGTAAAGCACTGAGGATGCGCAACTCCTCAGACCCAAGTTGTTGGTTGGCGTATGTCAGATACTATCATGTTGCGCTCATGTGTAGTCGTGTACATAGATATTTTTTGATTGACCGAGGTTGGACCTCGTATCCTAATGACCTCTTCTCCTTTAGGTCGTTCTTCATAGGTGCCCATGGTGGATTTACTCTACCTCTGCGCCACGTGGCCTTGGGGACATGCTTGTTTTCACCCATCGGCCGATGTCGGTCCTCAGGAGGGTGGTCAGGTTTATCTGCCCACTCGTGCTTAGACAACACGCTATCCTCGACCTCTTCATCGAGCTCGGCCAACAGGTTCCTACAGGGATAAAACTGATCAACACCAGTTTGACGGAGCTTGTCCTCGAGCGCCTGCTCAGCAAGTAGGAGCTCGGTCCATCAGACGTTTATGTTCCTCTCTTCGTCTTTAAGACGCCGAGTTTTGTTTTTGATGCTCTTGGCCGTGCTGGACAATCATTATCGCATGTTCTCGAGCTGAGGTGCCTCAATGGGCTGCTCGAAAACGTCGTATTCTTCGGGGTCGAGGGCACACTCCTCCTCGGCCCCCGAGTCGTAGTCATCGTTGTCGGGGTCGTCATCACCCCCGTCAAGTGGGTGGTCAAGGTAAAGAAGGATGATCATCTTGGCACCATCATCAAGCACAAGGCCCAACTCATCGCAAAAGGATATGTGCAACATGCAAAGGTGGACTTCGAGGAAGTCTTTGCACCCGTGGCAAGGCTCGAGTCCGTTCGACTAATCCTTACCCTGGTAGCACATCAAGGCTGGGAGGTCCACCACAAAGACGTCAAGCGGTGTTACTCAATAGAAACCTCGAAGAGGAGGTCTACATCTCCCAGCCACCTGGCTTCATCGCCGAAGGATGCGAGCAGGGCGTGTACAAGCTACACAAGGACTTGTATGGTCTCCTCCAAGTACCGAGGGCATGGAACACCAAGCTGGATGCGAGCTTGGCCTCGCTCGGCTTCACTTGTAGTGCCTCCAAGAACGGATTCTACGCTCATGTAACTGGGGACACGCTTCTCATCATCGACATCTACGCCGACGACCTCGTCATCGTTGGTTCCGAGCACACTAAGCTGTGCTCCGCTTCGAGGAGATGAAGCGACTCTTCAGCATGAGCGACTTCGGGGTGCTTCGGTACTACCTTGGGCGGGAGGTGAACTAGGAGCATGGTCGCACGACAATCACCCAGGCGGCCTACGCCACCCAGATGCTCGAGCGAGCAGTCATGAAAGACTGCCACACCGTGAAAGCCCCGATAGATGCACGACTCAAGCTTAGCAAGGAGAGCCCCGAGAATCCGGTGGATGCAACTTTTTATCGAAGTGTCATCAGCAGCCTGAGGTATCTTGTGCACACCCGGCCGGATATCTCATTCACCGTCGGGTTCCCGGGCAAGTTCATGGAAGCTCCCACTAGCGATCATCTCGCGCTGGTCAAGCACCTGCTCCGGTACATTACAGGAACGGCCACACATGGTTGTGTCTATCACGGTGGTGACCGCAAGAACTTGATCAGCTACAACGACTTTGACCATGCTGGTGACGTGAACTCGGGGAAGAGCACCTTTGGCGTGTCGTTCTTCCTCGGGAGCAGTCCCATCAGCTGGCAATCTATTAGTGATGGTGTCCTGGACTAGGGGTACTCATCACGATGTTTCCCGACCAAATGAATCAAGCCAAGGATCCCCATGGCGGTTCATTCACGGGCCACTCTGGGCAACCCATGACGCATACAAGACTCCCCAAGACTTGGCACATGCTACTTGTGAGCTGCGTTGGGATTTCCTCGAAGAGGAGAGGATGATGCAGAACAGTAGAGATAAGTATTTCCCTCGGTTAAGAACCAAGGTTATCAATCCAGTAGGAGAACCATGCGAAACCTCGTTAGCAACACCCACACGCAAAAGAGCAAATACTTGCACCCAGCGCGATCAAGGGGGTTGTCAATCCCCTTGGCGGTTATTTGCAAGGATCAAATCTGATAGTGATAAATAGATAAATAAAACACAAAAATAAAAGAATGGCAAATGAATTGCAGCAAGGTATTTTTGGATTTAATATATGATAAAGGTAGACCCGAGGGGCATAGTTTTCACTAGAGGCTTCTCTCTCGAACAAAAGCATACAGTGGGTAAACAAATTACTGTTGGGAAATTGATAGAAAAGCGCATAGTTATGACAATATTCAAGGCAATGATCATGTATATAAGCATCACGTCCGAGACAAGTAGACCGAATCCAGCCTGCATGTACAACTATTACTCCACCCATCGATCACTATCCAGCATGCATCTAGAGTATTAAGTTTATGAAAAACGGAGTAACGCCTTAAGCAAGATGACATGATGTAGACAAAGTAAATCCAACCAATATGAATAAACCCCGTCGTTTCCCCCTTAATGGAAACAATACAAATATGTGTCATGTCCCCTTATGTCACTGGGATTGAGCACCGCAAGATTGAACCCATTACAAAGCACCTCTCTCATTGCAAGATAAATCAATCTAGTTGGCCAAACCAAACAGATAGATTGGAGATAAATACAAAGCTATAATAACCATGCATCAAAGAATTCATAGTAGACTCAATTAATATGCATGAATAATCTGATCATAAACCCACAATTCATCATATCCAAACAAACACACCGTAAAAGAAGATTCCATTGAATAGATCTCCAAGAACATTGAGGAGAACATTGTATTGAAGATCAAAGAGAGAGATGAAGCCATCTAGCTACTAGCTATGGACCCATATGTCAATGGTAAACTACTCACACATCATCAGAAGGGCAGCAAGGTTGATGTAGAAGCCCTCCGGCAGAGTACCAGAAAAGGCCTCCAGATGGGATCACGGAAGAACAGAAACTTGCGGCAGCGGAAAAAGTATTATTGGGTGGCTCTCTATTGGTTTCCCGATTTTAGAGAATTTAGAGAGGTGGAATGAGGTCAGAATGAGCCATGTGGGGCCCACAAGGCACCAGGGCACGCCTACCCCCTGGGCACAACTTGTTTCCTTGCCATCTTCTCCCTTGCCTTCTGGCCTCCTCCAAAGCTTCTAGGGTCTCTTTTTTCCAGAAAAAATCACCAAAAAGTTTCGTAGCGTTTGGACTTCGTTTGGTACTG